TTTCACTTATAAAGCATTCAGTCGTACTTACTGTAGCAAATACAACCGACGATACAGCTGAGGATTAGGACAACGCCACCAACAATGGGACCAACAATCACCCTTTCAGAAACATAGTCATATTGTACATGTTGTATATAGTTTGAATATAGAAAACGTTTTATAAGTTTCAATCACCACACCCATTTTAATCTTCAGAATTAGACAAAAACTGTATACTATATGAAGTAGCCTCTAATATATACTTATTATGATATTTTTTATCAGGCATCTGATTTATGAGGCTGATCATTTTTCATTTTTTTAATCACTTTTTGCTTTATGACAAATGTTTCAAAATGTAGGGTATCCTTTAATTTTATCTCACTTAACCTTTAATAAGATATTTGGATTCATTGACCTGCTAATATAAGAGGCATCGCCGAGTACTACATTTATCTTTCGATAAAACTACGTAGATTCAAATCCTGCTGACAATCGGTCACTACATGTTTCTTTAAATCAAACAACCATGCCCTATTTTGATTATGTGAAACAGATAAACAAATTTGATCACAAGAGGTCACACACTTACCCAATACTGATGCAGGTGGCTCCACCGGTGCAGATGTACCCGTCAGGACAACAGTAAATAGATCCCGTGCAGCAGTGATAGCCAGTCAAAATGCAGTCGCTGTCAGAGTGGCATGTTAAGTCACCTACAAATTGTCAAGACTTTTATTAGCTGCAGAACTGCAGCTCTCCGAAAAAAAATTGACAGACCGGAGAGCTACAGTGCCACCCATAGAATAAAAACCTGTATATTTATTGCGCACAAAAAATTGCTCTCGGTTCTGGATTCATTTCTTCAAATTCTTATCACAACTGCACAGAAGCTCGATTTCAAAAAAAGGATTGGACGTCTTTCAACTACTCTTGTAGTTGACATCTTTACGAAGCGCGTTTGGCCGAATTGTCTAGCAACCCAAAATGGCAGTATTAACAGGCGAAATTTTGGATGGTCTTAATTTCTGGCCAAGGAGGGCTATTAACAACGGTTATAGGAAATGTTTTGATGTGGAAATAGTGCAAAAATGTGTTAGGAACACACGGTCAGTAATATTTTAAGACTGCAGTTTAAAAATACGGAGAAATAAATCGAGAAACAGCGCACTTTTTTGTGCGCAATAAATAGACAGTTTTTTCTATTGGTGGCACTGTAGCTCTCCGGTCTGTCAATTTTTTTTTCCGGAGAGCTACAGTTCTGCAGCTAGACTTTTCAATCACCAAAGAGTTTTGACTTTTCGGGTTCTATTGAGAAACTATAATGAATGACACATGGTTGACCTAGTGACCAGAGATCTTCTACATTCATCAAAAAAAAAAAAAAAAAAAAAAAAAAAAAAAAAAAGTGAAATTTCTTTGATTTTTTAAAAAATATTAACTTGCTGCCTCTGACATGAAATATTTAGGTTCTGCTACTTTGAAGTTTCATGTGACGTTGGTACAAAATAACCACCGTAAAGGTCGCCCTCGTGGCGCAGTGGTTAGAGCGTTTGCTCTAAAGTCGCGTCGTAAGGAGTTGATCCTTACGTCGCGGGTTGGAATCCACTGCGGGATGTGGAGACCGGTCCTTTGGATGAGACCGTATAAACCGAGGCCTATGTTGCAGTAGGTGCTGGCACAAAAAGGTCCCTCACTGCTCAATGGCCCTGAGTGCCGAGTATAGTCAAAATTTGCAGCCCTCCACCGGCAAGTGGTGGCGTCTCCATATGAGTGAAAAAACACCGTAAAGTGATACTGATAGTCAAATCTTTTGATGCTTAATTGGCGGATTTAGAAATTAAAAATACAACAATCAAGTTGAAGAAAATAATGTTATCATTTACAAAATGTTTAACCCTCCGGAAAACCCCAGACAAAAATTCTCCTGTAATAAATAAATAAATTCATTAATCAATCTAACTGAATAAATAATAAATCTAAATAATTTGAACGATAAATTGATAAACTTTTTCATGATGTACAAGTAAAATTTATGATATATTTCTAGGACACGATTTTGTGACAGAGATACATGTACATGTGCAACCACACCCAAACAAATATATACCCTGAATGGGTATGTATAAAATAAAATTTAAATAACGCATATTTCAATACTATACAGTGTGTCGTCAATTCTATCATTATGATAATACATCATTATTCATCTGAAACTTTTAAGTGTATCGCTGATGAGTTATTTATTGTCCATACATATCAATAATTAAAAAAAAATTGTTATAACTAAACTTTTATGATCAATTATACCAGATTTAAATACAAATGTCGCATGTTGGTAAAACAAATACCTTGAACAATGGACACCGTTAAAAATCCTAAAAGAAATAAAAGAACACTGTTTGCCATGATCTCTTGACACGAAACTTTACGTTTGAATTATCTGTTTATCTTTACTTGGACTAAAGTCGTTATCAAATCATAACCCAAAATTTATTGTTATTGTGAAATATCCGTCACGAGACAATGAAACAAGATTGTCGCTGATCCCACTCCTTGTGATTCCAGAGGTCTATTTTTTGTGATAAACATGATGACTTGTATTTTCCATTGTCAACTTCCTTTATTTATGTATCACTATTATCAGCTACATAATTATGAGGTTTTTGTGTTATGATTGCTTACGCTTACGTGTACTCTTCATATGAACCTTGTTTTAAAAAAGAGGCTGGCTACTGACAAAAAAGTAGATGTTACAAAGGAATCAACAATTTCTTAAAGGTCAACATTTGAAAATTTCTATGGTCGATACAATGAGCTTTTCTTCCAAATACAGTCTGCAGATTGGTGGAATGTTGATTGATGTTTTAAAACACATTTAAGACCATTTATTACGAATTATTTACCGAGGACTTCATTTACTCCAAAGAGCTGACAAAGAGTGTGACCAGTGGAAATGCTAAAGCTTATTTGTTAAGGGATTTTATCCTGTTTTGGTTTTAGAGGGTCTGTTTGCTCTGTTCTACATTTATATTGCTTACTGAACTTTTGATCACGATAATTCCTTAAAGATATACGCGCTATATAAACACAATTTTTTATATGAAACAAAATGATTAAATGATTTGAGAAGTATGATGTGCAATAAAAAATAATTACTTTCCACAAATTTTACGAAATAAGTCGTTGTAATTACAAAAGAATTAAGCAAGATCTGCAATTAAGAATTCAGCCTATTCATGAATATTGATGAAGGAAGTGCGTAAACAGTATACAGACATGCATGTCCGTGGGAAATCATAGACAACGAGGTATGTTGCCTTTTGACTATGATGTTGAATAAAAGTTAATATCTGTCATTACAGAGTAGATGGTTAATACTAGTTGTTTTCAAAGATAAGTATCTTTAAGCATAAAACGTATGCCATCCATGTCGAAAGTTATTTTGTATACTAAACGGCCTATCTCGTTTTCTTGACGCCATTTTTGTATATCAATCTAAAATAGCGACGGTGTCACATGATGCATGAATTTAAATAGAGGCATCACTTTCCTAGTAGGATAATAAATAATTATAATTTAAGATCTTTATAATGCGTTCATTTCCAATTGTGTAATTTACAATATTTTCGTAACTTTATTTGGTAAACAAAATAAATAAATTTCCAACTTTATTTCTAACTGAGGCAAGTTATAGCGTGTATACATGTATATTAAATCGATGCTTATCATATAAAAATCCCTTCATAACAACATAGGTTTATCTTTGGTTAAGATCAAAGGTTTGACTTTCATTATAATGGTAAAGCCTTGACAGTGCATTTGCTTGGAATTACATCTATTCCTAGAATCTACGAATCGTATACTATATATTTCTTTCTCTTATACTAATATCCTGATTATATTTCAAACATTTCTTGTTATTGAGTATTTTGAGGTTTTGGATTGGTCAGATTGAGTTTCCACAATTTGTATAAATTTAATCACATCCTAAAATTATAATATTCAGTTATTAGCTTAAAGAAATATTTTTACAATAGATGACAATCAAGCCAGGGACTGACGATAAAGTTGAAATATTCTTCAAAAACATAACCATAAAAAATTAAGATAACGAGTCGTGATCAATTTCAAAATTTGTAAAAGTATACCATTTTTTGAACAGGACATGAGACACGGCTCAGCTAAACGGAAAACGCGATATAAGTACCATATTGATATGCATTACTTTTGATAATTTCTGTCAGAAAGTACTGGTTACTGAATTTATGTTGGGATGGTAATCTAGATAAATATCCATAACAAATAGGTTAGTGTCATGCTAAATACCAGTGAAATCCATGTTTTAACTGTGTGTCACGTGTCTAGAATAAAAAAGAAGATGATATAAGTGCAAGAACATAATTATGCATTTTTTGACATAAAAATTCGTACGAATTGAATGAGGTTTTCGTCATCTACTTTGAAAGTGCTGGGAGCAAGTTTATGCTGCATCGGAAATACTAGTAATTTTTCAAAACATATATAGCTGAAAATTCAAATTTCCTTAAATTCTGTTATAATAACAGACAATTATAATAGACAATAATCAGCACCCAACACTTAAATATTTAAGCTCCAAAATATTAAGTATATGTCCGTGCACTTTTTCTAGTAGGTTAACTGGAAATACGCTTATTGTATTAGACAACTTTTACAGATTCTGTCTCTCTAAAGCTTAATACTGCCTTAATAAATTCATTATCGGTAGAATAGTTTTAAATAAATAATTCTCTCCTACTCTCTTGATAAGATGATTCCCAAAGTTGTTCAGATTACCTGTATAGAGTTTCATTCAAAAGATGTCATAGCATTTTCATGAGTATCTTTTCTGTATTATTTAGTGCGACATATTTCAAAGTATTACCAATCATTAAAAAAAAACAACATAAAAATACATTGCTACATTTACTTTCAAATTTTTATTGCATTTATTTAGATATGCAAAAACTTTCAAAAACTTTAATGAAATATCTACGTTAAAAATTATTTTTTCTGTTTCTTCAGTAATTTTTTTTTTTTACATCTATCTGTAAGGAGTAAAAGTCTTTGGCGTTCTTTTTGTCGTAGTAAACTGAAAATGAAATATATGAAATATTTAAGTATGGACTCAATAGAATGTATCGACTAATTAATATATCATTATTTTTTGTACAGATAATTTCATGAAATTCATCTCATATACATGTAAATATTGTTAAATTTGCAGTGGAAATTTCTGATTAATCTAGCTGATATAGATTTACCCATGAGCCAGCACAGCACATCATTTGAAGTGGACCGCCACATAAATTACTTATGTACTTTCCCCAGCATGGCCTAGCTATGTTTTGGCATGTACCGCCTATACTTAGACAAGCTCCATCGGATCCTGAATATACAAAATAAACATTAAGCCCAGGAAACACAACGTTAATTTAAGTCAATTTATTCTCCTTGGCAAAAATGAACATTGTTTTAAATATGAAACGTAAAAATGTGATTGACAAAAGCGTATGTATTCTACATTCAACAAACTTTGCAATGTGTATCAGTTTTTATTTTCAAAAGATAAAACCCGAGAATATGGTTTGGAAAGAAAATGAAAAATTCCTTCTATATCAAAAAGGAGAGATTTGTATGATAAGAAAACTAATTGTGGTTTAAAAGTTAAAAGAAAACTTTATCCTTTGTGATGCATATTTTAAAACAGTCGCCCGCATGGGGCATTGGTAAGAGCTTCTGCTCTAGAGTCGTGAAGCAAGGAGTTGATCCTTTCGTGGCGATTTCGAATCTCACAGTGGGACGTGGAGACTGGTCCTTCGGATCAGACCATATAAACCGACGTCCCGTGTCACAGTCGGTGCTGGCACGAAAAAGATCCCTCACTGCTCAATGGTCCTAAGTACCAAGCATAGGTCAAAATTTTCAGCTCTCCACCTGTTAGGGTGGCGTCTACTTATGAGTGAAAAATTCTCGAGAGGGACATTAAACAACAACAACAACAACAAAATTATTTTAAATCGAAAACATCACACAGACTAGCTTAATTTAAAAAGGCAATGAATAAAATATGTCTAAATTGAATTCAGGGATATTGTATGAACATTTTCCACCGTCTTTTTCGTATAATTATGTAACTCCTTAACGTTCATAACCGGCAAACATTTGAGCTAGTACCTCAGTACATGAAAAATGTGAAGATATCGAACTGTGGTCGATCTAAAAAAAAAAAATACATAAACAATACAAATATGTGAAGAGGGCATAACACATGGACCTATACCCATCCTAATTAGTTGATCCACCTCTGGTATTTCAGCGGGTCCGTGTTTTGTGTCCTTTTTAAATTGGTATTGTTTGTTGATTTTTTTTAGATCGGCCATTCTTCGTTTTCTTCATCTTTTAAATTATAATGGCACCATAAGATCATTTGGAAAGCAAAATACATGTAATTGAAATATTAAAAGATTTTTTACAATTTGCATCATCTATTTTTTAATGTAACTTTTGGACAATGAAAATTACTACGTTAGAGGAATTTTTATAATCATCACAGAATGAAAATAAAAACAATTTTATATAGCAAATAAAAAGAAAATTCTACTTACCATTCACTGTAAGTACACGATGATTGTTGACCAAGAAAATAACCGATAGGAAAATTGTAATGTTTACTTTTAAGCAATGCATTACCTTAGGCTGATGATTAAAACGATAATAAGCGTGATAATTTTGCAAGTTTTGTAATTTATACCTCATGCACCTTTTAAATTCTGCGTTGAACAATTACGCCATTTTATTAACAGCTGTCACATAAAATAACAATGATTCACAGTATTTGTTGTGATTTAGCATATGCTTATACTGATGTACGTGATGATTAATTATCCATTTTCTGAAATTCACACAGGCCTAAGTTTATCACTTAATCATTGTATATTTTATTTTTCAATACATACATTCGTTATCTTTGTAAAATGGAACTTTCTCAAGCAATAATGTTTGTATCCTGAATACTTCAAATAATATTTGTTTTTCCTGTCAAACATATGCTAAAGTTAATTTCTGGAAATCAGTTTAAAAAAATCATCTAGTTATATACCGTATAACGGGTATTTTCTGCGGTTGGAAATTTTTGCGATTTAACCCCTAAAAGATAGCAAATTAATTTCTACGTTTTCATTTTCTGCGGTTGCATTACACCGCAAAAAATTATTTACTGGGTATGATCACCAAACTCTAGGAATTATCAGATAGCTGTCATGTTTACGTTTTATAAATTCATTGAGACATATTAATCAAAGGTGCATGACAACTGATATTGAGCTATTAAGTTTAATTAAACTACTATCTTTTGGTTAGTCTTTGTAAAATTATGTCGAGTCCCAATTGAAATGAATTATTGCCGTATCTGTCCACCCAAACAAAAATAAAAAAATCTTTATTCTACATTGTAACAAACGTCTTATGCGATCTATTAAAATATTTAAATATATAGATAATTAATGCATCCAAGCCATATTCTAAAAATTCACTTTTAGTTAATTGCCATCAAAATTAACCTGGTGTTTATATTTAAAGCTCAAACAAACAGTTACATAATCAAGTAACCTAAAGTTGACCGTATACAATCACAGGTGCCATGTGCATTGAGGCGTAACTAATCCTGTCAGTCGTCTGCATTGTGTGAAATGCACGAGATGTGTATACAAGCAGTAATTATGGTCTCAAGATAAAACACAAGATTGAAAAAAGTGTTAAAGACAGAAAGAAAAGCTGCTATGTGTTGTTTGCAGCTATCGGAGTTTGAACTAGTAATTGCGAAATCTCTTTTAATCATTTACATGTACATGTATGTATCCGTATAAAATAAATAGGTACAAGAAAAGATGTTTTTGTATAAACTTATTAAATTGATATTATTTACATGAACGTTTTGATTCAATATGTTTTGGACAAATCCTAATATCTAAAATCTTCGAATTTCGATGACACCCGAATTTTCTCGCTAACGAGGACGTGTCCACTCATGAGTCTGCGGACGCATCGTTTTTAAGAACTTGCGTCCCAAATAATTTTGCTGCGTCCAGTACGCAGGTTCTTGCGTTAATGAAAATCCTGTGACATATGCACCACTTATCATACTTGCATGTATAAAAAATATTGAAAAAAATATTTTGCGATTGTAATTTTTGCGGATTTGTCCTATCCGCAAATTTCCGCAAAAATTGGACAACCGCAGAAAATACCCGTTATACGGTATGTTGTTTATATATAAATAGGATTTAGGGCTCACTGTTTTTATCTCCTTCTTTTGAATGAAATTAAATCATAAAACTCTTCATTGCATTGTGTAATATTTGAAAATAAGAAATTCTGTGCAAAAATTTCGTGGAGAGTTTTTGCTGTTGTTTTCGAGACCACAGCATGTTATATTTCATATACATATTCAACACATCCCAAACCATTAGATAAAATCCCCCGAAACCAGATTTTGTTTTCAAATAAAAAAATGACCCTTTGGAAATCTATGATTCCAGTGTATTGAATTATTTGTTCAAGATAGAGTACATTGACATGAATGGTACATACATTAGATGTTTGTTTGTTTGTATGTTGTTTAACGTCCCTCTCCAGAATTTTTCACTCATATAAAGACGCCACCACTTGCCGGTGGAGAGCTGCAAATTTTGTCCTATACTCGGCACTTACGCCATTGAGCAGTGAGGGATCTTTTTCGTTCCAGCACCTACTGCGACACGGGACCTCGGTTTAAACGGTCTCATCCGAAGGACATGAAATATTTAGGTGCTGCTACTTTGAAGTTTCATGTGACGTTGGTACAAAATAAACACCGTAAAGGTCGCCCGCTTGGCGCAGTGTTTAGAGCGTTTGCTACAAAGTCGCGTCGTAAGGAGTTGATCCTTACGTCGCGGGTTGGAATCCACTGCGGGATGTGGAGACTGGTCCTTCGGATGAGACCGTATAAATCGAGGTCCCGTGTCGCAGTAGATGCTGGTACAAAAAGGTCCCTCACTGTTCAATGGCCCTGAGTGCCGAGTATAGTCAAAATTTGCAGCCCTCCACCGGCAAGTGGTGGCGTCTCCATATGAGTGAAAAATTCTCGAGAGGGACGTTAAACAATAAACAAACAAAAACACCGTAAAGTGATACTGATAGTCAATTCTTTTGATGCTAAATTGGCGGATTTAGAAATTAAAAATACAGCAATCAAGTTGAAGAAAATAATGTTATCATTTACAAAATGTCCAACCATTCGGAAAACCCCAGACAAAAATTCTCCTGCAATAAATAAATAAATTCATTAATCAATCTTACTGAATAAATAATAAATCTTAATAATTTGAACGATAAATTAATAAACTATTTTATGATGTACATGTAAAATTTATGATATATGGCCAGGACACGATTTTGTGACAGAGATATATGTACTTGTACAACCACACCCAAACAAATATATACCCTGAATGGGTATGTATAAAATAAGATTTAAATAACGCATATTTCAATACTACAGTATACAGTGTGTCGTAAATTCTATCATTATGATAATACATTCTTATTCAGCTGAACCTTCTAAGTGTATCGCTGATAAGTTATTTATGGTCCATACATATCAATAATTAAAAAGAATCTGATAAATAAACTTTTATGATCATTTATACCAGATTTAAATATATATGGCTCATGTTGCTAAAACCAATACCTTGAACAATGGACACCGTTAAAAATCCCAACAAAAATAATAGAACACCGTTCGCCATGATCTCTTGACACGTAACTTAACTTTTGAATTATCTGTTTATCACTACTCGGACTAAAGTCGTTATCAACTAATTACCCAAAATGTTTTGTTATTGTGAAATATCAGTCACGAGATATTGTAACAAGATTGTCGCTGATCCCACTCCTTGTGATTCCTGAGGTCTCTGTTTTTGTGATAAACATGATGACTTGTATTTTCCAATGTCAACTCCCCTTATTTTTGTTGCAACATTATCAGCTACATAATTATGAAGTTTTTTGTGTTATAATTGCTTACGCGTACTCTTCATATGAACAAGTTTTAAAAAAGAGGCTGGCTACTGACAAATAAAAAGATGTTACAAGGGAATCAACAATATCTTTAAGGTCCACGTTTAAAAATTTCTATGGTCGACACAATGACCTTTTCTTCCAAATACAGTCTGCAGATTGGTGGAATGTTGATTGATGTTTTAAGACCATTATTTTTTTATTATGTATTATTTACCGATGACTTCATTTACTCCATTAAGGTAAAAAGCTGACAAAAAGTGTGACCGGTTGAAATGCTGATGCTTATTTGTTAATGGATTTTACCCTGTTTTTGGTTTTAGAGGGTCCGTTTGCTCTGCTCTACATTAATATTCCTTATAGATAGTTTTCATATGACATATTTTCTCTAGGAGTTATTTCCCTTGGCCGCCATTTTGGTGGTCAACCTGGTAATTTTTCCTCTTTGTCTTACCAAATCTAAGAGGGTGTAGCAGAAATATTTGGGGAAAAATCTTTATAGAATAAAAATCATAAAATAAAGGAGGCTTTAACAAATGTATATTTTTCAGAAAAACAATGCTTCTTACCCCACATGGCCAGTATAAAGGTTAAAGTGTTGAATAATGAAGGAATATGAGTATGTTGACCTCCAATATGGCGGCCAACGGGAAATAACGCTTGCGAATTTGGGCCTACTGAAAACTATCTATTGAACTTTTGATCACGATAATATCTTAATCGTTGCTTTTCATTCAAAAATTCAAAAAAAAAAAAACGTTTGACTTTCATTATAATGGTAAAGCCTCTACAGTGCCTTTGCTTGGAATTACATCTATTCCCAGAATCTACGAATCGTACACTATATCTTTCTTTTTCTTATACTAATAACATTCAGTTATTAGCTTAAAAAAATATTTTTACAATAGATGACAATCAAGCTGGGGACTGATGATGAAGTTTAGATAATCTTCAAAAACAGAAAAATGGAGATAACGAGTTGCGATAAATTTCAAAATTTGTTAAAGTATACAATTTTTTTAAAAGAGCATAAGACACGACTCAGCTAACGATATAAGTACCGTATTGATACTTGCATTACTTTTGATAATTTCTGTCAAAAAGTAACTGAATTTATGTTGGAATGGTAATCTAGAAAATACGTTAATGTCATGCTAAATACCAGTGATATCGCATGTTTTAGCTGTGTGTCACGTGTCTAGAATAAAAGTAGAATTAATTTGGATGAAGAAGATTAAATAAGTGCAAGAGCATAATTATGCATTTTTTGACATAAAAATTCATACGAATTGAATGCAGTTTTCGTCATCTACTTTAAAAGTGCTGGGAGCAAGTTTATGCTACATCGGAAATACTCGTAATTTTTCAAAACATACGTGCGATAGTTGAAAACTCATATTTCCTAAAATTCTGTTATATTAACAGACAATTATAATAGACAATAATCAGCACCCAACACTTAAATATTCAAGCTCCAAAAATTATGTCTATGTCCGTGCTTTTAGGTGAACTGGAAACGCGCTTATTGTATTAGCCAATTTTTAATCTGTCTCTCTAAAGCTTCATACTGCCTTGATAAATTCATTATCGGTAGGATAGTTTTATATAAATAATTCTCTCCTACTCTCTTGATAAGATGATTCCCAAAGTTGTTAAGATTACCTGTATGGAGTTTCATTCAAAAGATGTCATAGCATTTTCATGAGTGTCTTTTTTAAAATATAATTTAGTGCGACATATTTCCAAGTATTACCAATTATTAAAAAAAACAACAACAACATATAAATACATAACTACATCTAATTTCAAATTTTTATTGCATTGATTTAAAAACTTTAATGAAAATAGCTACATTAAAATTATTTTTTTTTCTGTTTCTTCAGTATAATTTACACGTCTATCTGTAGGGAGTAAAAGTCTCTGACGTTGTTTTTGTCGTAGTGGTAAACTGGAAATGAAATACATGAAATATTCAAGTGTGGACTCAATAAAATTTATTGACTAATTATATCATTGTTTTTTGTACCGATAATTTCATGAAATTCATCTCATCTACATGTATTAAATATCTTTAAATTTGCAGTGGAAATTTTTGAAAATTATTCTAACTGATATAGATTTACCCAAGAGCCAACACAGCACATCCTTTCACGTGGACCGTCACATAAATTACTTTTGTACTCTCCCCAGCATGTCCTGGCTATATTTTGGCATTTACCACCTTCATTTAGACAAGCTGCATCGGATCCTGTATATACAAAATAAACAAAAAGCCCAGGAAACAACGGTGTTTTAAATTTAAAACGTAAAAGTGTGATTGACAAAAGCATATGTATTCTACATTCAGCAAGTTTTGCAATGTGTATCAGTTTCATTTTCAAAAGTAAAAGCCCGAGAATATGGTTTGGAAAGAAAAAGAAAAAATCTTTCCATATCAAAAAGGAGAGATTATATAATAAGAAAACTAATTGTGGTTTAAAAGTTTAAAGAAAGATTTATCCTCTGTGATGCATATTTTAAAACAGTCGCCCGCATGGGGCAGTGGTAAGAGCTTCTGCTCTAGAGTCGCGAAGTAAGGAGTTGATCCTTACGTCGCGGGTTCGAATCTCACAGTGGGACGTGGAGACTGGTCCTTCGGATTAGACAGTATAAACCGAGGTCCCGTGTCACAGTCGGTGCTGGCACGAAAAAGATCCTTCACTGCTCAATGACCCTGAGCGTCGAGCATAGGTCAAAAGTTGAAGCTTTCCACCGGCTAAGGTGGCATCTCCATATGAGTGAAAAATTCTCGTGAGGGACCTTGAACAAAAAAAAAAAAAAAAAAAAAAAAAACAAACAAACAAACAAACAAACAAATAAAGAAACAAAAAAAATTATCTTAAATCGAAAACAGCACACAGACTAGCTTAACTCAAAAAGGTGATAAATAAAAAAAAATATAGATTGATTTAAGGGATATTGTATGAACATTGTTCTCCATGTTTTTCGTATATAATTCTTTCACGTTCATAACCGGCAAACGTTTGACCTAGTACCTCAGTACATGAAAAATGTGAAGATATCGAACTGTGGTTGATCTAAAAAAAAAATCCATAAACAATACAAATATGTGAAGAGGGCATAAAACATGGACCTATACGCATCCTAATTATTTGATCCCACCTCTGGTATTTCAGCGGGTCCATGTCTTGTGTCCTTTTTAAATTCGTATTGTTTGTTGATTTTTGAAGATCGATAATACTTTGTTATCTTCATCTTTTAAATTATAATGGCACCATAAGATCATTTGGAAAGCAAAATACATGTAATTGAAATATTAAAATATTTTTCACAATTTGCATCATCTATAATTTTTCATGTAACCTTTGGACAGCGAAAATTATTACTTTTAGAGTAATTTTTATGATCATCATAGAAAGAAAATAAAAACAATTTTATATAGCAAATAAAAAGAAAATTCTACTTACCATTCACTGTAAGTACACGATGATTGTTGACCAAGAAAATAACCGATAGGAAAATTGCAATGTTTACTTTTAAGCAATACATTACCTTAGGCTGATGATTAAAACTATGATAAACGTGATAATTTTGCAAGTTTTGTTATTTATACCTCATGCACTTTTTAAATTCTGCGTCGAAAAATTACGCAATTTTATTAACAGCTGTCACATAAAATAACAATGATTCACAGTATTTGTTGTGATTTAGAATATGCTTATACTGATGTACGTGATAATTAATTAATCCATTTCTGAAATTCACACAGGCCTAAGTTCATCACTTAATCACTGTATATTTTATTTTTCAATACATACATTCGTTATCTCTGTAAAATGGGACTTTCTCAAACAATAATGTTTGTATCCTGAATAATTCAAATAATATTTGTTTTTCCTGTCAAATATATGCTAAAATTAATTTCTGGAAATAAGTTTTACATTAAAAAGTATCTAGTTATGTTGTTTATATATAAATACGATATATGATCGATCCACTTTTCCCTCCGTCTAAAGAATGAAATTAAATCATAAAACACTTCATTGCATTGTGTAATATTTAAAAATAAAAAATTCTGTGCAAAAATTTTCGTGGAGAGTTTTTGCTGTTGTTTTCGAGACCACAGCATGTAACATTTCACATACATATTCAACATATCCCAAACCATGAGATAAAATCCTCCGAAACAATATATTGTTTTCAAATCATAAAATTTGACCCTTTGAAAATCTATGTTTCCAGTGTATTGGATTATTTGTTCAAGATAGAGTACATTGACATGAATGGTACATACATTAGATGTAGAGATAATCACAGTCATTAAATGATATAAATATCTACGTGATAAAATGTGTATTTGTATCATTAATCATTTATTTATCATTCAATCATTAATGTACAAATCAGAATAAAATAAGATATTAAAAAGTAAATAAACTTCAATCTCCTAAATTTCAGTCATTTATTACATGCATACATAGTTTTGCATAAGCCTCTGGAAATTTTGATATGCTAATCAGTGTTAAAAAGTTGATCCATTCAAATAGTAAGCTATCAAAAACTAGAAGTTATAGTAATAGGGAAATCAACACAAGTCGCAGAGCAACATCGATACACCAAGACACAATTAGATACCAATATCACCCACACACAGTTACCTTTGTTGCAATACATAAACTGCTTCAGCAATGATAAAAAACATTAACCATAAACTTGCAAGGGCAATTTACAAACAAATTGACAAACACATTGATGAAACAAGAATATCAGCAGTCTCATTCAAAGTCATCATGTTGTAAGTTCTATATATGCTCGATATAATGACCTTGTCAGCAAGTACAAGATCTATCATTAAGTCAAATGTAATCTCAAAGAAGAAATCTTTTAAAGGTCGAGTGCGGTAAAAATAAATCTTACAAATAATGTTTGTAATTCATTAAAAGCTATAAATGAAAGTTTATGGTTGTGTGTGTTTAAAAAAAATATCCAGATATAGACGCAAAATACCTGTTCAAAAATCGTTAGTTATAGACACGAGCGAAAGAGTTATCGCTCCTTTTTATGACGTCATCAGAGACAAATGCTGTGTAAGCGCTATTCTATGTAAACAGCTGATAAACTGATTAAAATGACTAGTTTCAACGCTACCTTGATAGTGACTGTAAACTACCGAAGAGTATACAGATGCAACCAAATGTGTTTGAGCCCATTACGAAGCAAGCAGAATATGATTGGTCTGGCTACATGGATATGTCATCGAAGTTAGAATCCTAGAATAACGAAACTAAAACGGGAAATTCTCTAATGGGCTCTAATTGGTAATGTTTTTTCAAAGATAACCTTGGTATTAAAAATAAATAATTAAATGAAAAAACAACAACAAATATTCAAAAAAATGCAACATGAAAATGGAAACCTTTAGGACATTTACATGTACACCTATGTGGAATATTTTATGCCCCCGTATCGAAGATTCCGGGGTATATATTTTTTACCCTGTCCGTCCGTCTGTTTGTCTGTTTGTCCACAAAAACTATAGCCTTGCCAATAACTTTTGATTGGTTGGACCTATGGCTTTCATATTTCACATGTGCATTCCTTTTGACAAGTCCTTTCTTTGGGTACCACCATACTTGACCTTTTGACCTTGAACTTGGAGTTTGACCTAGTTTTGCAAAATTTTACCAAACTTTAACCTTGGCCATAACTTTAAAACAATATGTGCTAGGGCTTTCATACTTCACATGTGTAATCCTTTTGACAAGACCTTCCTTTGGATACCAATAACTTTGACCTTTTGACCTTGACCTAGGAGTTTGACCTACTTTTGAAAAAAATTAACCTTGGTCATTACTTTTGAACGGTCGGTGCTAGGGCTTTCATATTTCACATGTGTAATCTTTGTGATAAGACCTTTCTTTGCATACCAACACCTTTGACCCTTTGACATTGAACTTGGAATTTAACATACTTTTTGGAAAATTTTAACCTTGGCCATAACTTTTGAACGGTTGGTGCTAATGCTTTCCTGCTTCAAATAACTTTAATCCTTTGACCTTGGAGTTTGACCTACTTTTCGAAAACTTAACCTTGGCCATAACTTTTGAACGGTTGGTGTTAGGGCTTTCATACCTCTCATATGTAATCCTTGTGACAAGATCTTTCTTTGGATGCCAACAACTTTGACCATTTGACCTTGGAGTTTGACCTATTTTTTGAAAACTTTAACCTTGGTCATAACTTTTAAACGATTGGTGCTTCGGCTTTCATATTTCACCAGTGTATTTCTTGGGAAAAGGCCTTTCCTTGGGCACCATTACTTTTGACCATTTGACTTTGACCTTGATGTTTGACATACTTTTGAAAAATCTTTAACCTTTTCCATATCTATTCAAAGGTTGCTGCTAGGCCTTTCATATTTCACAGGTTTATTCCTCGAGACAAGACCTTATTTTGAGTACCAACATATTTGATTTGCATTTGAGAAAGTTTAACCTTTGCGATAAGTTGCCATACGGGGGCATCAGTGTTTCACAAACACATCTTGTTTTTTTATGTTCGTTAGATTACTAATAAACTAGTAGTAATATTTCATTTAGACTCGATGAGTATTGATAGTCAACTTTGAAAGCATGTTAACATTTAATGCTCAGCAAAGGTAACAGTGATCAGCAAATAACTCTTAGACCGTCGGAACAGAGGAGTGGTTGCATTAGCTCGCACCCCTTTCTAACCAAAAAAATGAAAATAATAAATTTAATTAAAAAACTCGAACATGCGAACATTTTTAAATAAAAAGGCGTCGTTTAAATTTTTGGAGATTAATTTCCGAAATCTAAATAAAACAATGAGAGAATCCTGCTAGACATTATTTATACAGCTTGATGTGCGAAACTTGGATTTTCTAAATCATATACAATGCAAATCAGCATCATATTTAAAATAATGATAGCAAAAAAAAAAAAAAAAAAAAAAAAAAAAAAAAAAAAAAAAAAAAGCAAACAAACAAAACAAAACAAAAACAGTTACAATGACTAGTAAATCTTAGATCTTGGTGGAAAAGTTATACTTGAATAATATTTGGTTTTGATTTACAAGATTAACTCAAGTACATGTATAAGATTTTTTAAATGTTTTAAAATCAAGGACCTGCTTTTCCGTTTGTGAAAAATTTTGTTGGGAAAAATAGGGAATTTTATTAAAAATGAGAGAATATCATATTTAATAATTTTTTTCAATAAACTGGAATAAGATTTTTTTGTAAGGAATTTAATGACTTATTTTTCATTCAGTCCTTCCATTTTTTTTATCAAGTGTATTTTTTAAAACACCGATCCTGATATAATATACATGTACATGTTACCGAGTATGGACATTTTTTAGCGACATTCGTTTATGTTCCATTGATATTTAGTAAATTTCTTTTCTGAAATTGGGGAAAACACACTTTTTACCATTGAGAATTAATGGGGCAGTATACAGGCCTCCTACGATCGCTAAAAATCCAGGGTACAGGTGGCGTCATTTCTTGCGGCCACGGTCTATTGAATCATAAAATAACACTATCAACGAAAATTATTGTCACTGAAAAATATGTTAACTTCACATGGTGACATCAGATTCCCCCAAATGCTACACTTGTTTAAAAATATTTATTCTGGCTCAGAGAAAGGGGGTTACCCCCCTCCCCCTAGCCCCTCTCCCATATCACCTATTCCAGAAACGAGTAATAGACGAATTTGATTTCATCCATCCTGAAGTTTTGAAAATTTATGTAAAAGAAACATTTCTGTTTTAGAAAAATAGCTATTCTAGATCAGATATGCTTCCAGAAGCCGATTAGTTCAACTGATGTATTAGTAAGCAATAGGTTTTACACAGGCAAACATAGAGTTCATATAGGATGCTTATAAATAAAAGTTTTACTGTATTTCGTTTCAAGATAATTTTCCTTGATTGTTCCCTTGAAAATGCATCATAACAATTTCTTTTTTTAAAAATACTTTTAGGAGATGATACCCTTGCTTGCGATTGAACAGACGATGCCAGGATATCAGTGAAGAATGTGATGAGTACAACCCCCCCCCCCCCACCCCCCCCGTGTGCAAAAGACAATTCTGTGTCAGTGGTAAGAATGCTTATTATACAGTTGTAGTTAGCTTTTGTAAATTTCGTCTTAAGCGTTGATTAGTTGTCACATTTTCTTTGTCATTTACTTCATTAAATATCGTTTAGATTTAGTCAAGAATATTTATATTTTGGTAATTGAAAGTAATTCCATAAATGTTACTATATGTAAAAAAATGTTTACTGACATGACTTTTGATTATCAATAGCAACTATACTGCACTCGTGGCAGAAGAACTTTTGCAAATACATGTATACATCTGTAGATTTTATCAACCAATCAAATTGCGCATTTTAAACCACGTGTCGAATTAAAGTTAAAAATGGCATTGCAGATATCAAGGAGACTATAAAATACTTTTTTTGTAAATGGTGGTGTATTTAACTTTTTAGTATTGTAATTATTGTGTTCCCCATGTATT